GCCCAACTCTAGTCCTTTTTATTTTCTGATGTGATGTTAACCAAGTAACTTAATAGTTTTCAACATATTTTATATTGTTCTGTGGAGAAGTAAAAATTTCTCTTTTTCCATAGCTAGTTCATGACCAATTATTGTCACAGCATTCACTTTCTTTTCTTTTTTGGGGGGTAGGGTGGGGTGTGCTGGGGTATTGAACCCAAGGGCACTTTACTCACTGAGTTACATCCTTACCCCTTTTTACTTTTAATTTTGAGATAGGGTCTTGCTAAGTTGTTGAAGGTCATGATGAGTTGTTAAGGCTGGCCTTGAATTTGTGATCCTCCTGCCTCAGCCTCCCAATTGCTGGGATTATACCACCATACCTGCTTTATAGCATTCATTTTTGCCTGGACCTTGATGCCTGAAATTGTCCGCTTGGGTTTTATTAACCCAGTAGGTCCCTTTATTCAATTGAAATGCTACAGATTTCCAAAATTTAAGAATATGATAATATCAGTAAGAAAGCCCTAAACAGCTATTAATGAGTTGCTATATTTTGGCAAGATCTTTTTGGGTCCAGAATCTTCTCTGTGTCTTATGTCTGGAACTTTAATTTAGAGCTTTTTCATGGATGACCATCCCTTAGGAAAAGTGGCATTCTCATATAATCCTCATTAGAAGCAGTTATTTCATTATGTTATTGAGGAACAATTTGAAATATGTATGAGAAGTTTTTAATAATGTGTATTCCATTTGATTTAGTTAATAGGTGATCTGACTTTTTTCCAGTGTTGAAAAATAAAAGTTTTGAATCATACTGAATTGATCATCACATTTTTGCTTATTACCCATAGTAGGACAGGTAGTGTACCTTGGCTTATTGCTTTAATTAGCAACCAATAATCTATTCAGCTAGTATTTATTCTTGTCAGCTAGTCAGAACACATTTATAGATTTTGCAGTTAATTATTCCATATATGAAATAATGTAACATGGATTCTTTTATAAAATTACATAGAGCATTTATATTATTATTTAGGTAAAATTTTTTATTTTTTTATTTGTTCTAATTAGTTATTCATGACATTAGAATGCATTTTGACATATCATACATAAACGGTCTATAACTTCTCATTCTTCTGATTGTACATGATATAAAATTACACTGGTCATGTAATCATATATGCTCATTCATCCTACTGTATATTATTTTTAAATAATTGAAATAGTTTTATTATAGTCCATGCACATATTTTTCTAACAAGCTGGGTTTTATACGTATATATGTACATGTATATATATGTTTTGTAAACTACTTTTTATTTATTTATTTTTTACTCATTGTCATAATATTATCATGTCAATAAATATAGGTCTATAGTCTATCTTTTTTGTTGGGGAGTGCTAGTGCTGGGGATTTAACATAAGACCTTGCTCATATTAAGCAACCTACTGCAGTCAGGCTCTTTATTTTTAGTAACTATATAATATTCTATTATGCAATTATAACATAATTTATTTGGTCAATTCCTTTTTTTTTGAGAGAGAGAGAATTTTTAATATTTATTTATTTAGTTAGTTTTCGGCAGACACAACATCTTTGTTTGTATATGGTGCTGAGGATGGAACCTGGGCCACACGCATGCCAGGCGAGCGCACTACCGCTTAAGCCACATCCCCAGCCCTTGGTTAATTCCTTATTGGTAGACTCTAAGGTTGTTTACTTTTAATACCTTTGTTTTATTTATTTATTTTTATGCAGTGCTGAGGATCAAATCCAGGCCCTCACACGCTCTAGGCAAGTGCTCTACCGCTGAGCCACAACCCCAGCCCCTGTTTACAGTTTTTTCTTGTAAACAATGTTATGATAAAATTTAATTTTGCATCGTGCACTCGTGTGTTTGGGTTTTTTTTTTTTTTTTTTTGTACCAGGGATTGAACTCTGGGTACTTGATCACTGGGCCATATCCCCAACCTTATTTGTATTTTATTAGAGACCTCTCACTGAGTTACTTAGTGCCTCGCCGGTTAACTTGTGATTCTCCTGTCTCAGCCTCCTGAGCCACTGGGATTATAGGCATGTGCCGCCATGCTCAGCTTATACTCATGTGTTTATCTTCTTAGAATAAATTATAAAATAGATTTGCTGGATCAAATTATGCACATTTTAAGTACTTTTAATATAAGTAGTCATTTCTTAAAGTGTCAACTAATTTACATTGCTTTTGAAAGTAGTTGAAAATTTCTTTTCCTTATACTCTCTCCTGTATTGTGTTTATTTTTGCCCATTTGATTAGCAAAAAACATTATCTTATGCTTGCATTCTTTATTATTAATGTATTAATGTAATGAAAATTCTTTACTAAGATCTTTAATCTGCCTATTTTCTTTTTTTTCACTGCATTCCACTGTTCCCTCCACCCCTTTGTAATAATCATGAACTACAGTCTTACCGTATTAAGATTATTGTCTTTCTGTAGTTTTAAAGATTTGCAAAAGTATTTTGAAACTGGGTGCAGTGGTGCATCCCTGTAATCCCAGCTCTTCGAAGGCTGAGGCAAGAAGATCACAAGTTCAAGGCCAGCCTGGACAATTAGGGGACACTGTCTCAAAATAAAAATTTTTAAGAAATTTTTTTTCAGTAATAATGCCCCTGGATTTAATACCTAGTACTAAAAACTAAAAACTAAAATCTATAAGTTAAAAAATAAATTCTAAAAAGCATTTTTATGTAAGTGATTTGGACATTGTAATACATAAGGAAACACATAAGCCCACATGAAGCTGGGCTGGGATTGTGGCTCAGTGGTAGAGCACTTGCCTAGCATGTGTGAGGCACTGGCTTCGATTCTCAGCACCACATAAAAATAAATAAGGGAATGTGTCCATCTACAACTAAAAAAATATTTTAAAAAAGAAGGAGGTCAGAAGCATCACTTAAAAGTAAGGCAAAAGGAATAATTGAGAAGAAATCAAGTAAAATAAATGAAGTAAATAGAAGAATAAGGACGTATTTCATGTGGTTTTAAAAATGCAAAAAGGTATTACTTAATTTCTTCCTTAAATTTTATGTAATTAGTCTTCTTTTAACCATATGAACCTATAAATGCTTGAAAAAGAGACTAGTTTAAATGAAATGTTGAAATTCTTGGTTTTGTAGTATTCATAGCCAATAGGGAGCAATGTTCCCTTAATTTTCTTTTTTTACTTGCAAGTAGATAAACATGCTGCACAGGCAATAAACTACAGAGACTGAACTTACATAGATGTTTTAATCTATAATCAAATAAAGCTTTCAACAATTATTTGACAATTAAGAATATGCATAATCAGTACTATGCTTCGAGGTAATTAAGCTTAAACATGTTTTTATGTTTAATATCAGTTTTTCTGTAGCCAGATCTCAACATTTCTGGGATTATCTTAAAGGAGAGAAAGGAGAAAAAAAAAAAAGACCAAAAATCTGTCACAGAAATCTCTGGCTTAAAGTATAAGGAGATTTAGACTTTTTGAGCAGGACCATAAATAAACTTAGTGTTTCTAATTCTGGAGACCAAAGACTTCCTTTTCCCTTCCATCATTTAAGACCATCTTCTAGAAATTTGGAAGATTGAGCCACTGTTTTGTTTTCTCCAAATACTTTTCTACCTGGAGCTGGGGATACAGAGGTCCCAGTCATTGATAATCAGTGCTGAAGGACAAATTCTTTCACTGTTCAAGCTAAGCTGGTTTTTAGGTCTCAAGTTGTAAGCTCTCATGGCTATTTGAGTTAGTATTTTAGTTGTCCTGTTAACCTGAGTCTCTAGGAATATCTGAATCTGAATTTCTCTTCTTTTCTTTTTTTTTTTTTTTAGAATTATGACCAGCATTTATTGAACACTATTAATGTATTTCTCATCTTTTCTTAACTTTGGCTGCCTGTAAGAAACACAAGAATATCCAGTGCATAAGAAACAAAATTTAATGAAAACAAAGTTAGCATCATTGCTAAACCAAATCAAATGTGAATAGCTTAGAATATGCTTTTTTCATACCACACTTGCTCCATGCACATTCTTTTTAGCACCAGTTGAGCATCACATGTATTGTCACCTTGGGAAAGTAGAGGCAAAGTCAAGAGATTCTAAAGCTCAGTGGAAAGGATAACTGGGAATCATTCCTATTTTAGGGATGATTTCTGTTCTCTGGAGCCTGGCTGTGTGTAATGGCTGTTCATTAAATGTTTGTAATTCAAGGTCTGTATCTCTGGTTTTAAATTTTTGTGCTATCTAAAAAGATGATATAGTGTTGAGAAAATTACTCATATTACTTTTAGAACCTTCTATTTGTCAAGTTCATTATTGGTTGATAGAAGTAGCATCTTGATCAACCGTAATTCAGTAATAAAAATACCTAATGTTTTATAATGTTTTACTATTTATAAAGTACTTTTGCATACATTATCTCATAATTCACTCATATATCATCTTGTAAGAAAAGTGGTGGTGGAACATTTCCAGGAAGAAAAATTATGGGTTCATAGAAGTTAAATGATATGTTATGTTCACACAGCTATAAGAGGCTTAAATTTATCTTTTGTTTTATTTTTCAAACCTTTCACAGATCCCTTCTGCCAAATCAGTTCATGTAAAAACTGTACTATTAATGATTAAAACACATAATAAATTTTAAATTCAATTATTTAGGTTACAACAAATGTTTAAGTAAAACTTAAGACAAAAGCATAAGAATTTTTTAAAGTGAATCCGTTTTATCTTGACAAATGAAAGATTGCCTCCATGGACAAGAAGGTAAACCATGTGTTTCTATAAGCAACTGAAGGAAGAAAATCAAATTTGTTTGTTAAATGCTATTTAAGGACAGTTTTAGCATATCTATAGCACAAATGATAAAGTAGAAAAACTATATTGTGTTTTTGTGAGGTACCCATGATTTTATCTATTACATCAGTATGATGTCTCATCAAACATTTTAATGTTAAGTGCACAATATTTTGAGAGGAAATGACTAATTTCTCCCATTTTTTAAATAATTCTTTCAGATATTTCAATCAAAGGAAGAAATAGCTCTTCTCCTAAGATGGAATCTGTGATTTGGGAATGTGGTTGATCAACTTGATATGTTGGCCAAATGTGCCCTATGTAATAAAACGAAAAGAAGAGACAAGATGATGTCATTTGCCCATGTTGTGAAACCAAAAACAAATGCCTTTTGTGAGACCAAGCTAACAAACCTCTGATGGTACAAAGAGTATTTAACTTTTGAAGAACTTAACAGTAAGATATAGAAGAAATACTTTCAAGCTGAGACCTGCAGGTGTATATTGATCTAAAATACATACTGAGTAGGCCTGATCATCTGAATTTCATTCAGATCAAGGAAGAATGGCTATGAGTTGGATGGTCTTCTCTCTTTGGCTCTTGACTATGTTTGTGGGGCATATAAGTGGGCACAGTTTGTTTTCTTGTGAACCTATTACGTTGAGGATGTGCCAGGATTTGCCTTATAACACTACCTTCATGCCTAACCTTCTGAATCATTATGACCAACAGACAGCAGCTTTAGCAATGGAGGTAAGACTTGATCTGTCCTTTAACATATCTCAGAAAATGATATTACCCTGTCATCTAATGTGTTTGATGAATAATAGGAAAATATGCTATTTTAAACTATTTCATGTGCTTATAAAAATTTATAAATTTTGGTTCAGTCTGATGGATTGAAGAATTCCTATATAGGAATGCTACTCCAGATTTACTTTTCAAACATTATACTTTTACAAAGAAATTTGAAACACTAGAATATGGGAGATAATAGTCATTCAGAAGTTTAAAATTGTCTAAGTTATAACATGATTACAACCCTCTTATCATCCCTCTTATTTGGCTAATAAAAACTTCAGATAAAGAGCATATGATAATAACATGCATAGTTAAGTCATTAAGTATTGAATATAATGTGATTTTTTTAAAAGAATGAGTTCTTTTGTTCTGCCTTTAAACTTAACAATCTTTGAGTTTTTTTTAAATATTCAAGATGATTTCCTGGTCCTACTGTGTTCATATCAGTGTAAGAACAACTCTCAAATAAAAAAAATTTGTTATATGGATTTTCTGTTATTGATTTCTCAGATTTTATGAGAAGTTTTTGTCTTATTTGAATTTTTTAATAGTAATTTTTAGGCACTTCTTAATGACTTTACTTTAGAAACTGACAAATTAATGGTTTTAGTTAATGATAGGTTTTGTGTTTGTGACTCTGTAATGGTTTTAGAATTGAGGACACAGATATATGTGCCAGGTAAGAACTGGGAGACAGTAAACAGTGGTGGTAAGGAGCTTTGGAGTTAGACAACATAGGTTTGAATTATAGCTTCACTACTTTCTATCAGTGTTACAAGTTAATATGAATTTTCCCACCATAGTTTCTTTCTTTATAAAATAAGATCACACAGGCTTTTGTAATGTAAAATAAAAATATATCTATAAAGTACTGTAAATACTCTATGATAGTTTTTGCCATTTTTTCCATATTATCATATTAATATGCTATATAGATAGTATAATTTAGAGAGAATGTCTTATACTTTTGCCTTTAATCCATTTGCACTGTGCTTTCAGCAAATGCAGCGTACACGTTTTGGAATTTTTCATTGTATAATAAAAGTCAAATGTTATTTCAAAGTAGATTAAAATAAATCTGGGAAATTTTGTAGATTATTATTCATAGATTTTGCAGTGTGAGGGGCATCTCTTATATATTCGAAATACTTGAAGATGTTTTAGAAAATATTTTCTGCTCTTCCTCTGACTACACAAGGTCTAATTAGTGAACAGAGAGATATGGTATAGATTGTCAGGTTAGGTTATGTGACAAGGGGGTATTGGTTAAATACAGAAAATTAGCTCCAGCCATGGTAGCCTTTGTTATGTATTAAAGTTATTGATTTTTCTCCCCAAAAAATTGAGTTAGAAATACCTTTGTTTCTAGTATCATTGTAGGTTATAACTTTTGTAAAGCAAATAGGGTAGTAAGAAACTAGGCATGAAGCTGGGTTTTTTTCTTATTTATTTTTTAGATGTTGGTAGACCTTTATTTTATTCATTTATTTATATGCGGTGCTGAGAATTGAACCCAGTGCCTCATACGTGCTAGGCAAGAGCTCTACTACTGAGCCACAACCCTAGCCCCTAGCTTTTATACTAACTTGCGTTCAACTTTTAGCTCTGCTGTGCAGTAAGCTTAAGACTTTGGACAAGTTACTAAACATTCTTGAACCTTGTTTTCTTAATATGTGAAAGGCAATAATAACACCTGTGATTTATGAAATAGCACAACACCTAGTACACAATAGGTGATCTGCAAATGTTAATTCTATTCCAAATTCTTTTTCTAAATGAACTTGTATCTTTAGTTGTAGGTTCATGGGGCATTCATAATGATGGTCTGGTAGGCATTCTCTACCTCTTCTCACATATGCTCAAAAAAGTCTAGATATTTTGTGGGCAGTGGATGCCTCTGTTTGAATTTCAAACTAGATTTTGCAGTGTGAGGAGAGCTCCTAAGGGGGCAGTAGTTTCTAAGAGAGAAAGTTTCCAATGATTTGAAGCAGTGTTGGAGATACTTGCTTATTGCATGGTTGTCATATTAGGATCATGATGCCCCTGATAGGAAGAAAAGAATCCTGAAACAGTTTAAGAGTGTAAAGTTTCTGTAATAGCAAAAGACATGGAAACTCATTGGATAGCACGACATGTGCATAGCTGCTGATGACACCTCTTCATTTCTTCTCTGCTGATCTTGGAACTTTGGATATGTCTGCTAGTTTTTACCAGGAGCAAGTAATTAGAGCAAACAGTCCCAGCTCACTGGAGACTAGATAAACTGAAAGATAGTTCCCTAGCTATAGCATTAGCAAGCCCAGGCTTCAAACCCATCTGGAACAGTAAGCTAGGCATACCAAGAATGAGAGAAATTACAAAATCTGAATTATTTTAGATTTGATTATTCACAAGAGGTTGGATCTTCTCACATTGTATAAATGGATTCCTATCTGTACTTTCTTTCAGTTGAAAGTGGGACATAGTTAAATAGGGTTAACCCATTAAATTGAAATTGATTATAAGTACCAAATGAGATATATGAAAATTATTTTTTAAAATAGCAGTACCTACCCAGAAGATGAAAGCATGATAGATGTTCACAAGTTAACTCTCATTTTTTTCTCCTAGCCTTATTATTCTCTTCAGAAGCTGTTTATCACAATTGCACAGAATGTCTTAGCATTACTTGAACCTACCAAGTTTTTGTAAATGCTGTCTTTGTCATGAAGACTATTCCAGTATTCCTATTGGTGATCTCTCACTTACTTTTCAAAACCTGGTTTTGTTGTTGCTTCTTTGAAACCTAGGATGTTCAAAGTCTATTGCTCTTTCCTCCACACTTACCAGTATGCTTTATATGTACCCCTGTTCTGATGTGTGCATTATTATGTTAGAATTTTTTATATTTTTATTCTTCCTAGTAGAATTTCAACTTCATGGAAGCAGAGCTTGTCCATGTTCATCTTTCTATCTCTAGTATTTAATATAGAGACACATAGTAAATGCTTAACGTAGAGCCTCACACATAATAGATGCTAAATAAATGTTTGAATTAATTTCACTGTAAATCCTTTAGAGGTGACGGTGGTCAACACAATCGTGTTGTACTTAAACTCTTAATTTTATGGGGTTAGAAATAGTAGTTTGGTGGGGATGGTGATGTTAATATAATACTAAGTTACTACACGTTTGTGAACACTAGTATGTCACTTTTTCTTATTTTTCAAAGTGACTTGAAGCTTTCAGCATTGTGTTTGCGTTTATAACTGGTATAATTAAATAAAGGAACAACAGAACAGAATTTTCCCTTCTCTAGGCTTATGTCAAAATTCTTTTGTACTCAATTCACTGTTTAGAGTTAGTGGTGGACTGGGGTTGTGGCTCAGTGATAGAGTGCTTACTTTGCATGTGTGAGGCACTAAGTTCAATTTTCTAAATGAAGGTATTGAGCCCATCTACAACTAAAAAAATGTTTTTTTAAAAAAAGAGTCAATGGTAGGGCTGGGGATGTGGCTCAAGCATCACATACAAAAAGATATTGTGTCCACCAAAAACTAAAAAAATAAATATTAAAATATTAAAATTCTCTTAAAAAAAAGAGTCAATGGTAGAGGCTGGGTTTATAGCTCAGTGGTAGAGTACTTGCCTAGCAATCGCGAGGTCCTGGATTCAATCCTCAGCACCACATAAAAATAAATAAATACAAATAAAAATGTTATGTCCATCTACAACTAAAAAAAATATTAAAAAAGAAGAAGAAGGAAGAAAAGTCAATGGTAGCCAGGTTGAGGGGTGCCTTTAATCCCAGTAGTTTAGGATGCTGAGGCAGGAGAATAGCAAGTTCAAAGCCAGCCTCAGCAACTTAAGAGAGGTCCTAAACAATTTATTGAGATCTTCTCTCAAAATAATTTTATAATGAGGTCTGAGGATGTGGCTCAGTGTTGAAGAGCTTCTGGGTTCAGTCCCTGGTACCAAAACACACACACACACACACACACACACACGGGTAACCATGTGTGTGTATCATTCTGGTTTTGTTGAAAAAAGTATATTCATGTTCATGTAGAGTAAGTGATCTGGTAGGATTTACATTAAGACAACTGTGGTTATTTCTGAATTAACTGTTGTGTTTGCTATGTTCTTCATTTAATGTTTGTATTTTCTTTTTCTTTCTTTTAAATTTTTCAGTATTGGAGATTTTACCCAAGGCCTCGTGCATGCTAGGCAAATGCTCTACCACTGAGTTACAGCCCTACCCTGTAGTTTCTTTTTCTTATTTTTCTGTATGAAACACATTGTGCTTCCCCATCTCCACCCCACCACTACACAGCTGGTGCTGGAGATTGAACCAAGGGCCTAGTACAGGCTAATAAACATGTGCTCTACTACTTAATTTCACCCCTAGCCCATACATTGTGCTTTTAAAACACTAATATTAGTAAGGACGTTTTAGTTTTAAAAATTTGAACTGTCCTGTTTTGTTCCTCTTTCAGGGCAGCGCCTAAGACATAGTATTCATTAAATATAATTTGATTGAATGCTGTAGTGTAAGAAAGAACTTGGTGTTACAAAAGGCATGAAGTGCTTTCAAAGAGAAGGATCATGTGGAGGCTTTAAGTTGTAGATGGTCAATTGGACTTTAAAATTCAGATAGGGTTTTTTGTTTATTTTTTAAGAGACTAGTATAATGTACCTCATGTAACAATAATTCTGGGTATTCTGGGATTCTGGGCAAGCACTCTATCTCTGAGCTACATTCCTTAACTCTGAAGGGTCTTTAGAAGCCTGTTTTGTGATCAGAGTAAACCAACCAGAATGAAGTTGTTTCTAAATTGAAAAAATGTACTCACAAGTAGTGGAGAATTATTTGCACCTGATTTTAGGGGGAAAAAAATCAGCTTTTGAACATTTTTATTCATTTTTTTAGTGTGACAAATCAGTTTAAAGGAATTACCTTAAAAATAATTTGCCTGGGCTGGGATTGTGGCTCAGTGGTAGAGTGCTTGCCTCGCACGTGCGAGACCCTGGGTTTGATCCTCAGCACCACATACAAAAATAAACAAGTGAAATAAAGGTATTGTGTCCAACTACAACTAAAAAATAAATATTAAAAAAAATTTTCCTTATTTTTAATTTATTTTTATCTTTATTGGTATTGGGTATCAAGTCCAGGGTGCTTTACTTAACCACTCAGCTACATCCCCAGCACTATTTATTTTTTCATTTTGAAATAGTATCTTGCTAAGTTGGTGAGGGTTTTGCTGAGTTGTTGAAGCTGCCCTTGACCTTGGGATCTTCCTGACTCAGCCTCCTGAGACTATGGGATTATAGATCTACACCACTGTCTCCAGCAAAAATACTTGTTGTAAATTAAGTTATTAGAAGTAGTGAAATTCGGTTTGCAAAGTTTTATTTTTAAGACATGCCATATGGGCTGGGGATGTGGCTCAAGCGGTAGCGTGCTCACCTGGCATGCATGCAGCCTGGGTTCGATCCTCAGTACCACATACAAACAAAGATGTTGTGTCTGCCGAAAAACTAAAAAATAAATATTAAAATTCTCTCTCTCTCTCTCTCTCTCTCTCTTTCTGTCTCTCTCTTTAAAAAAAACCCTATTAATTGATTAAATAATGGGCTGGGGATAAATCTATATATAAAAAAAGACATGCCATAATTTAGGATTCTCCATGATATTGGAAATATTAAAAGTTTACTTCCTAAAAAAAGTCAAATTTATGGACTGAGTATGAAGGTGAATAGGTTCCTGTGATAGTGGTGAATTCTACAAAACCAACTCACTGAAAGACTTTTGGAAAGTACTTACACACTGTCATAGGACACTTAAAAATTAAGGTTAGGAAAAAAAATTCTAAGATTAGAGGATTATTTTGTAGATGCAAATTAATAAAGTTTTAGACCTTTTTCCATTAGAGACTATTGTTCCAGAAAGGGAGTTTTTAAGCTTTCATTTTATTTGCTTAAAGTCATTCTAAAAAGTTGTTTTTAAATAATTTCTTACTCTAATTTGAATCTGAAATAGCTATGAATACCATTTTTTAATTTTCAAGGCAATTCCACATTCGATTTCTCAGTGAATTTAGTCATAATATTCCCAAACCCAGTAGGGTGCAGTTTCCATGGTTACCATACCCTTTGTAAAGTGACAAAGGTTGGAATTCTGATTCTCTTGAGTCAAATTTTGGCCTTTGACTCTGTCCCCTTTTCACACCCCTTCCTAAGCTTGGGTTGTTGCTATGCTTGGAGGTTTGTCAGCTAGCAGGTTCCTATGGTAACAGGAATGGAAATTTGAAAGAAGAATGAATGGGAGCACAAAAGCTTGGTTGATTTGAATTTGAACAAAGAATGCAAGGTTCCATGTAGTGCACCTTTGTTGTAGAAACCAGAAATTTAATTTTAGAAAGTTACTTTCCAGTTTGTAAACTTCTTATACCCTGGTCTTGATTTAGTGAACAAAAGTATTACTGTTTAGGGAAATAGTAAGAACCTTTACAATTCAATCAGCTAAAGTTCTCTTTTTCTACTTCATAGAACTTTAATAGTATTCTTTATGTTATGTACTTGTTATTGACTTTTAAATGTCCAGGTTGCCAATTTAATTTTGATTTTGTTGTGGTTTAAAATTGTTGGTAAAGTTAAAATCAAGGCAATTTGCTAATTTGAAAAGCATTAATTTTGATTTGTTTTTATATAAGCTTTGTTGAGGTGTGTACACGATAAGCTGCACTCTTAAAAGTGTTCACTTCCATGAGTTTTTGACCAAGCATATGATACCACCACCACAAAGTACAGAACATTTCTGCCACGTCAAAAGCTTCCTTATGTTCCTTTATAGTCCATCCTTCTTTCTGCTCATTGTTCCAAAGCAAATCAGTGATCTGTTTTCTGTCATTATGAATTAGTTTTCATTTTCTAGAGTTTTATATAAATGGAATTATAGCATCTACATTTTTATGTCTTGTTTCTTTTACCCAGCATTACGATTTTGAGATTTATGTTTTGTTTTACTTTTTAAGAGAAAACTAAAACGTAAGTTAAGTAGAACAAATTGGTTAAGTATAAGGACTGGATAAGAATGCCAAAGTTTCTATGCCTTATTTTTTACATGTGTATCATAGAATGAGATTAGTTTTAATAGTATCCCTTATGGAATTGTAAGAAAAAGAGAACTTTAGCTAATTGATTTGAAATGAGGTAACGCGTATAAGGCTTTTTCAGCAATTCCCGTCCTACAGTGTCAGTAAATGCTAAGATACAGCCCAAAGTACTTTAAGCTAGTAATTAGCAAAAGCATGCAGCACAAAATAGTCATTTATGGAAATTTTGTAATTCATGATGGGGTTCCCAGGTGGAAGTTTGGTTAACATATTAACATCATGATATCTTATTGCTTGATATTTTACAAATTGGTAGTACCAAACAAGTTGAAGACCGAAATCATACATGTGCATAAGTATATGCATTATGTACATATATTATGTATATATTGGATTCACCAGAAGTTGCAAAAATAGTACAGACATTCTGTGTACCCTTGTCTGTTTCCTGCCCCATTCTTACCATTTTATGTAACTATAATATACTATCAAAACCAGGAAATTGATTCTGTTTATAGACCTTATCACATTTCATCAGTTTTTAGGTGTTTTTATTGTCTGTGTATAATTGTGTGTGTGTACATGTACAGCTCTGGTCATTATCATTTTAGCACAAGCATAGATTTCTGTAACTACTGATGTAATAAAGATACAGAGTGTTCTGTCACCTCCAAGGAACACTCTCATGCTTCCTCTTTTTTCTTCCCCTTTCCTAATCCCATCAACCATTAATCTGTTCTTCCTCTAAATTTTGTCATATCAAGAATGTTGTATACTTGTGTCTTGGACCATTTTGTGCTGCTATAACAGAGGCTGAGTAATTTGAGTCTTCTTGCTATGCTTATGCCACGGCAGAAGTGGAAGGTCAAAAAGGGGCAGTGAGAGAACAGGTACACACGTATTTGTGAAAGGGGGTCAAACTCATTCTTTTATAAGGAACCGGTCCTACAATAATTTAACAGTAACGGCATAAATCCTTTCATGAGGCAGAACGTGCAGAGCCTACTCACCTCTTAAAAGGCCCAGGTCTTAATCCTGTAACAGTGATAATTTTCTAGCATGCTTTTTGGAGATCACATTCAAAGGATGTCTTTTGAGATTGGCTTCTTTCTCTTAGTATAATGCTTTTTATATCCAATCAAGTTGTTACATGTCTCAAGTTTTTGCTTTTAATTGCTGAATAGTATTCCATTTTACAGATGTGCCACAATTAGTTTAACCATTTACCCACTGAAGGACACTTGGGTTGTTTCTGGCAGTTTGCTATTACAAATAAAGCTGCAATGAATATTTGTGGACAAGTTTTTGTATGAACATAACTTTTCATTTCTCTGGGAAATGCTCAGGAATATGATTGCTGGATTGTATGGTAAGCATATGTTTGGGTTTTTAAGAAATTGTTTTAACTGTTTTCCATAGTGGTCATAACATTTTACATTCCCATCAGTAATATATGAGAGATCTGCTTTCTTTCCACTATTTGGTATTATAACTAATTTTTAAAAATTTCCTCTGTAATAATATATCATGTGGTTTTAATTTGCATTACTCTAATGTCTAATAAAATTGAACATATCTAGGTGTTTATGTCATTCATATATCTATCTTTTGCTCATTTTCCAAGTGGATCTTTTTTTTTTTTTTAATTTGAGTCTTGAGAGTTCTTTATATATTCTGTATACAAATCTTTGATATCATATGAGATTTGGAAATAGTTTATTCCAGTTCATAACTTGCCTTTTCATCCTTTTAACATGGTCTTTAGGAGAATAAAAGTTTTCAATTCTAATGAAGTCCAGTCTACCAAATTTTTTTAAAAATTATGAATTGTGATTTTTGGTTTCATTTCTAAGAACCTTTCACCTTCCCCTAGGTCTTGAAGATTTTCTCTTTTTTAAAAAAATTTTTTATAGTTTCATAGTGAAATCTGTGATAAATTTTAAGTTAAGTCAGGCGAGGTGCATGTTAATAATCTCAGTGACTCAGGGGGCTACAGGAGGATCGCAAATAACCACTGTGTATAACTTCTTGCCTTTTCCCTCTTTTTTCTTTTAGTGCTTGTCCTCTTTCCATTTAATGTATATTAATTGAAAAATATATTCTGGTGTATACCTCAGACTTAACCAAATCAGAATTTTCAGGGGTAGAGTTAAAAAGGTTTTATTTAAACAAAACAAAACAAAACCAAAACTCCTCTTTAGAATTTTTTAATAATCTTTTTTTCAAGATGAGTAAAAATGAAAGTTGAAATATTACAAAAGCTTTAACTTGTATACAGTTATTTATCTAATTATTCAATTTTATTTTCATAGCCATTCCACCCAATGGTGAATCTGGATTGTTCTCGGGATTTCCGGCCATTTCTCTGTGCACTCTATGCTCCTATTTGTATGGAATATGGACGTGTCACACTTCCCTGTCGTAGGCTGTGTCAGCGGGCCTATAGTGAATGTTCGAAGCTCATGGAAATGTTTGGTGTCCCTTGGCCTGAAGATATGGAATGCAGCAGGTATGAAAATCATAGACTTCCATTGGTTATTATGCAGCAGTGTGTTTCTAAGCATTTCCTAAACATTTGACGATTATTAAACATTCTTATAGTTTTGTATGAGTAAACATTAGAACAATGTTGTATTCTGAAATAGTTCAAGTATAAAAAATAAGATGAAATCCTATGTACCTGTGATTATCTAGCTTTGTCCAGTATTAACGTTTTGTAATGTTTATTTCAGATTTAAGAAGTTAAACAGTGTAGGTACATTTGGAGGTTCTTTATTGGTAATTCTCTTGACCTCATACCCTTCTTCCTTCCCAGGGGTGAATTTGTTGTTAAGCATTTCTATGTTTGGTTTTATACTTAGTACATTATATACCTATCCACAAACAACATACTTTTTTTTTTTTTTGTATGTATCTATCTGTATCTGTTGGTCTGGTTCATTCCTCTTAACAGTTAATTAAAAGCTAATATCCTGTAGTTGACTTTGTAATATACTGTAGCTATTTAGCCACCTGTTGTCATTTGTGTTGTTCCCAGGTTTTTGTTAAGAGCAATACTGATTTCTCTTTCATTTTTAAAAGTAATTGTGTTTGTGATCTAGCAATAGCTGGTGTGCTGGTATGGCAGGTCAACAGAGCAAGAGGGGCAAACTTCCTTTTATGAGGGCATGAATCCATGAGGGCTCTGCCTTTGTGACTTAATCACTTCCCCCAAAGGCTCCACCTCAGTGGGGTTTAAGTTTCAGTGCATGATTTTGGGGAGACATTTAGGCCATAGCACCATTCTTCAATTTTATGGACATTCTCAGACTTTTTATTTTTTTATTCTAAATAGCGTCCTTCCTAATCTCATTCATTTCTTTATTTCACTTAAACTTTGTCATCTGTCTATTGAAATAGCACTTTTGTTTGCAATTTCAGCTCATTCTTTCCATTTGGGATTGTTCAGATATGCAAATGGACTGATCTAATCAATTTCTTATAAGTTAATTAGGATATCTACTTAATGATTCTCAAGCCACAGCAATTTTATTTGATTTTTGTAACTATTTCTCTTTGTCTGTAAAATTTCTGTTCATTTCCCCCTAACACCTGTGCCAAATCTACAGTGCTTACTTCAAGCCCATATCTCACCTTTCTTCCCTCAACCTCTGCCTATCCTGCTTTCCTGAAAATTATATAAACCATCTTGTGTGATCTGCTATATCTCAAACCAGTCCTTCTCAATTTCTTTCTTGTATCTTCTTCCTCTTTCTGTCACTTGCACATTGGTGCTTCCCAAATTTTATCTCTTGTTTTACAGGTTTCTCTGGAAACAAATTTCACTAATTTAAAACTTTTATTTGTATGCTGTTGACTCTTAAACCTGTATCTGTAACCGTGATATCTCCCTCCTAAGTTCTCCAAACTTGCATATCCATTAGCAGTCGCAAATCGTAATCCAAATTTGTCTCATATCTCCATTTCAGCATGCCTGAAATTTTATTTCTGGGCTCTTTTTTGTTTTTAATAACCTGGAAGTCATTTTCTGTACTTTCTTCATTGACTTCAACCCCCACATGCAATCAGTTATAAATTTTGTTGCTTTTATCTGTTTGCATATATCTTATTCTCATTACCTTTCTGGCTTTATTTGTTTTAGTTTATTTTTAAAATTCATTCTATTCTAACTGATCTCCCTGCCCCCTTTTTCATATAGCTCAAATCTGTCTTCCTTACTCTTCCTAGTTCTTTTTGATTACTTGCATTAGGGTTATATGAATATATTCAATTAATGTCCATTAGTGCAACAAATATTAAGTGAATGTCTTGGTGTGCCAGACACTATACTAATGTTGAAAATGAGCCATGAACAAAAATTAAGTCCCTGTATTTATGGAGCTAAAATTCTGGTGGTGGTGGTAAGTAGACTTTAGGGGAAGGCTTTATGATAAGGAGGCTTTAGACCAAGGACCTAAATGAAGTGAGAGAACAAATGAAACAGATATCTGACAGTCTGAGCAGAGGAAACAGTAGCAAGTGCAGAGGCTCTGAAGTTGGAAGCATGCTTAGAAAATTCAAAGAATAGAAGACCAAAGAGGCTGGAGCCAGGTGAGTGAGGGAGAATGGAAGGAAATAAGATCAGAAGTTTGGGGATTAAGGATCTATAATAGTTGCTAGGGAATTTGGATTTGACTCTGAATGAGATGAGAAACCAGGAGGTTTTGAGCAGAAGAGTTATGATTATGGACTTATAAGTTGCTTGTCTTTAAAGGTTCACTCTGGGGCTGGGGATGCAGCTCAGTGGTAGACCACTCACCTAGTATGCTGGAGGCCCTGGGTTTGATCCTCAGCACTGCCAACAAGGAAAAAAAAATTTGCTCTGACTGTCATGTAGAAATGAGGAATTTGGACATGGCCCCCAGAAGTCTAAGTAAGTGGTACTGATGTCTCAGACTAGGTAGTAGCAGTAGTGGACAAGAGAACTGGTCAGATTCTGGATATCTTGCAAAGTAGTGACAGAAATTACTGGTAGATTGTGACGTAAAAGAAAGAAGGGACTTGGAGGATAACCCCAAGGCAACAGGAAAAATGGAATCACCACTTATTGAGGAAACCTGAGGCATGGAAGTCAAGTGTTTGATATTAGAAGGGTTAAAGATTGAGGTGCCTATGAGATGTCCTAGTTTATATATTTCCTTGACCATTTGTGGACACAAAAATACCTGTAGAAAATAAATAGCTTTACTTTGTATGGTTGTAAATTTTATATCAGCATGCATACACACATTTTTACAATGTGTATACCTCTCTAACCTCATCTGTAACAAGCCATTCATTGATACAAAACACATCCTGGTCAAGCATCCATTCCTTTGCTTGCATTTGCTTCCTAGAATACTGATTGGCATACTGTTGATACTGGGAGGTGCCAATTCAAAAGCCTGCATGAGGTACTTGCTCTCTGAAGTCTTTAATTAAACCCTTTCCCCTGATCCAATTAATCCTGGTCTTCTATACATCCTGTAGATTTTGATTATCTCATGTATCACACTGGTATATTTTGTGGTGTTTATATAAGTTTGTGTCTCTTTCTAAACTCAAAGATGGAGGGCCTGGTTTTGTTTATCTTAGCTACAGCATACTACATCAATACATACTTGATAAACAAACTTCTGTAGTATTACCCTATAATTCCAAGTCCCATGAAAAAAATAGTTTGTGGGGCTGAAGTTGTGGCTCAGCGGTAGAGCACTCGCTTCGATGTGCAGGGCCCTGGGTTCGATCCTCAGCACCACATAAAAATAAATAAAAGTTATTGTGTACAACTACAAAAAAAATATTAAAAAAAGAAAATAGTTTGTATTAGAAAATAAAGGATTTTAAGATATTAATCAACAGTGATTATGAAAGTATTTGGCAAACTTTACATTAGTGACAGTTTCTTGGAAACTATTTGATGCATATGAGACAGTAAATAGCCAGTAATTGGGAATCTGAAGGCAAAAAAATTTGAAGATGAAGGGAATTCATGGGAATGTTGTCCTTAGTCAAAGAAGTTTGTCTGTCAGCCAGTGTGAGGATCAAGTGTGTGGATCATTTTTCTTTGAAAACTTATTAAAATACAGATTTCTGAACCTTAATCACAAGCATTCTGAAATATGATTTGTGGTGGTAGAGATTAAGAATTTGCATTTTTAAAAATCCCCAAGTTTTTCTTATGTGCATAGAAGTGTGAAAATAACTGAATTAGAGACTACAGGGGATTAGAGAGAAATCAGGGATGGTAGGAAAGAACTAGGTGACATTAGAGACCTTAGAAGCCCTTTAATTAGTTAATAGGATAAGCAGAGAGTGAATGTGAAATGGAAAGAGAAGATCTAAAAACTGAACCACTTGCAAGGATTTTTTTCTTTCTTTAATTCTTTTTTTTTTTTTTTTTAAACTGGGGATTGATCCCAGGGCCTCACACGTAGTAGGCAAGCACTCTACCACTGAGCTACATCCCCAGCCCTTTTAATTTTTATTTATTTATGTATTTTTATTTTTTTGTACCAGGGATTAAACTTAGGGGTGCTTAACCACTGAGCCACATCCCCAGCCCTTTTTTAAAAAATATTTTATTTAGAGACAGGGTCTTGCTGAGTTGCTTATTGTGTTGCTAAGCTTCTGAGATTGGCTTTGAACTTGCAGTCCTCCTGTCTCAGCATTCTGAGCCTCTGAAATTACAGGCATGCACCATTATGCCCAGCCTTTTTATTTATTTTGAAACAGGGTCTTTGTAAATTGCCCAGGATGGCCCCAAACTTGCCAATCATTCAATCTTAACTGTGTCCTAAATTCTCTGTACTATTCATAATATAGCTGCATTTTGCTATTTATTAGTACTGATTTTTTTTTAATTTATTTATTTTTTTTATTGTTGGTCGTTCAAAACCTTACACAGTTCTTAATACATCATATTTCACAGTTTGATTCAAGTGGGTTATGAACTCCCAACTTTACCCCGTATACAGATTGCTGTATCACATCAGTTACCCTTCCATTGATTGACATATTGCCTTTCTAGTGTCTGATGTATTCTGCTGTCAGTCCTATTCTCTATTAGTACTGATTTTGAAGGTAAAACAAATTTAAGTTTAAAATCATGTCTTTTTTTTTTTTTTTTTTTGGTCAGGTATGTCTGATTCATTGGTCCATGAACAAGATAACCACCATTTACTTTATTGATACTTCCACAATTGCCCTCCAAGTACATAGGAGTAACTAAGGTCATGGTCCTAAACTTGGAAATCCAAATTGTTAGGAGGCAGTACATTTCCTTGTAAATAAAATTGGTTCTCATCTTGTGTTTTTTTAGGTTTCCAGATTGTGATGAGCCATATCCTCGACTTGTGGATCTAAATCTAGTTGGAGATCCAACTGAAGGAGCCCCAGTGGCAGTGCAGAGAGATTATGGTTTTTGGTGTCCCCGGGAGTTGAAAATTGACCCTGATCTTGGTTATTCTTTTTTACACGTGCGTGATTGTTCACCTCCTTGTCCAAATATGTACTTCAGGAGAGAAGAACTATCGTTTGCCCGCTATTTCATAGGATTGATTTCAATCATTTGCCTCTCTGCAACGTTGTTTACTTTTTTAACTTTTTTGATTGATGTCACAAGATTCCGCTATCCTGAAAGGCCTATTATATTTTATGCAGTCTGCTACATGATGGTGTCATTAATTTTCTTCATTGGGTTTTTGCTTGAGGACCGAGTAGCCTGCAATGCATCCAGTCCTGCACAGTATAAGGCTTCCACAGTGACACAAGGATCTCATAATAAAGCCTGTACCATGCTTTTTATGGTACTCTATTTTTTCACAATGGCTGGCAGTGTGTGGTGGGTAATCCTTACCATCACATGGTTTTTAGCAGCTGTGCCAAAGTGGGGTAGTGAAGCCATCGAGAAGAAAGCACTGCTATTTCATGCCAGTGCATGGGGCATTCCTGGAACTCTGACTATCATCCTTTTAGCGATGAATAAAATTGAAGGTGACAATATTAGTGGCGTGTGTTTTGTTGGCCTCTACGATGTTGATGCATTGAGATATTTTGTTCTTGCTCCCCTCTGCCTATATGTGGTAGTTGGGGTTTCTCTCCTTTTAGCTGGCATTATATCTCTGAACAGAGTTCGAATTGAGATTCCATTAGAAAAGGAGAACCAAGATAAATTAGTGAAGTTTATGATCCGGATTGGTGTTTTCAGCATTCTTTATCTGGTACCACTCTTGGTTGTAATTGGATGCTACTTTTATGAGCAAGCTTACCGTGGCATCTGGGAAACAACATGGATACAAGAACGCTGCAGAGAATATCACATTCCTTGTCCATATCAGGTAAGGGAAACCTTGTTATAAATTTCAGAATGTGTAATAGTGAAAGTAAGAAGAAGGCATGTTACTATGAAGAGCTAATTTGGCTGTTTCTTAAAAACTCATCATGAATCTTCAACTTATTTATTTTTTTACTAGTCTATTTTAATTATAAAGAATAATGAGTTTGATTGTGGTATACATTTTGAAATTTAAAATGGAGATATTTAACAAATATATTGTAAATATATAATATGCATGTTTGCATAGACATCTTCATTTTAAAAGATGATTTACATTTCTAAGCCATGGGCTTTTTTTTAACTTTTTTTTTTTTTTAGTTGTAGATGGACACAATATCTTTATTTTATGTATTTATTTTTATGTGGTGCTGAGGATAGAACCCAGTACCTCACACGTGCTAGGCAAGAACTCTACCACTGAGCCACAGCCCCAGCTCCTAAACTATGGGCTTTTAAGAGATCTGTTTCCATTATTGTAAAACAGTTGTGTGTATTGATTCTTTAGAAGTCCAGGTTTAGCCAGGCACTGTGGTACAGTCCTATAATCCCAGTGGCTTGGGAGGCTGAGGCAGGAAGATCATAAGTTAAAAACCAGCTTCAGCAACTTAGCAAGACCCTGACTCAAAAAAGGCTGGGGATGTGGGTTAGTGGTGGAGAACCCCTGGGTTCAATCCATAGTACCAAAAAGCTGCAGGGGTGCAGTGGAGGGTTCTGGGGATATGGCTCCACTGGTTAAGCGCCTCTGGGTTCAATCCCTCGTCCAAAAAAAACAAAAAAATTAGAAGTCCACATTTGTGGGGGAGAAATATTGTACCAACTCTGATAAGAAGGCACTGTCTTGGGCTAGGGATATAGCTCAGTTGATAGAGTGCTTGCCTGTCACACGCAAGGCCCCTGGGTTTAATTCCCAGCACCATACACACCAAAAAAGAAGGCACCATCTTTGATGGAAATTTTACTGATCAGATAAGGAAATAATTGTTATAATTTTGCAAAAATAATAGAAAGCAATTATGTAAACTCTTGTGGTCTTGTTTTTTTCTTGGATATTGAAGATTTTATAATGTACTTTTAGGTTTAAAGATTTCAGATCCTCTATTAGTCATGGAATTTTAGATCTAGAAAGAACTTCAGAGTTCGTTTATTGGTATTCCTGCTCTAAATTTCTTGAACATCATCTCATTTGAAGCTTAGAAATGTGAAGTGATTTGCTCAGGCTTAGTAAGTGACCTCTTGGGATTTATTTTAAAGGAGACGCATAGTCAAGGAAAGTAGCTTTCCGGAGTTGATGCTGAGTATTTATTCCTCCACCTTAAATCCTTCTTTAGAACCTATGCCTCTAGCTATTACTCTCTTCTTCCCCTTTAAAACAAATTTTCAAGGATAAGTACTCTTTATTGATCTAGGTGTCCTAGTCACAAAGTGCACTGGCTGCCTTCAAACTCTCCCAATCCTTATGTTTCTCTAATAACTTTTCAATACATTTTTAAAGTACTTAATGTATTATAGATAATTTTGGTTTACTTGCTTTTTTCTTTTTTTTTTTTTTGAGAGAAATTTTTTTAATATTTATTTTTTAGTTCTCGGCGGACACAACATCTTTGTTGGTCTGTGGTGCTGGGGATCGAACCCGGGCCGCACGCATGCCAGACGAGCACGCTACCGCTGAGCCACATCCCCAGCCCCTTGCTTTTTTCTTATACTAGGGTGAACTTTACAAGCAAAATCTTTTTTATTTTTTGAATATATATTCTGTAGGTTAGTAAATGAGAGCCATGAGAAGTGGGTATATAGTTAAGAAGAGACATTTTTAAGAAATGGTAACAGTGGTATTGGGGACACTATATGGGGTTAGTATATTATCAGTGCTTAAATTCAGTGACTGAGAATACTAGCTTCCCATTTGCTTTGTGGTATAAATCCTGTACAAATTATATTTTTATCATTTAATAATTTTAGTTATGAATTTTTAAAATAAACCAACTCATAATTTAGAGACCAGGAAAAAAATGAATAATTGAAATTCAATTAAATTTCTTGGCAGAGTTACTTACTAAAAAACTCAATGATTCAGACCTAAAGGTAAGTAACCAAATTTTGCCTCAACTGAGAAAGAAAGATGGTTAAATTTGTTAAATGCTTCCCCAAACAAGTTGTCTAGGATTCAAAAAATATTATCTTAGGGATATTGAAGAAATAATGTTGACTATGAAATAAACTTTAAAAATACCAAACCTTGCCGAGCGTGGTGATACACACCGGAAAACCCAGCTACTCAGGAAGCAGAGGCAGAAGAATCAAGTTCCAGGCCAGCTTGGGCAATTTAGCTAGCAAGACCCTGTTTCAAAACAAAAACAAACCTTAAACATATAAATTGGTAAATTAGAGCAGACAGGATTCTGCTCTCCTTGAGACATTCCTAAAATTCTTTTAGCATCTTTAGAACCAGTGTGAGTTACAAGGACATGTATGTATGTGTGCTTTTCTGTATAATCATAGGTTTAAAATGTATTTTAATGAAATATTTCCAACATATGTGAAAGAATAGAGAATGGTGTAATGACAAAGGTATTAAGCTATAAGCTAGAGAGCAGGAATCTTAGCTTCATATCTTATTTTTATGATTTACTAGTTTTATAACCTTGAGCAAACTTCACTTCTCTTTGTTTCAGTTTTTCTTCTATAAAATGGGGGATATTAATAGCATCTACCTCCTGGGGTATTTTTTGTTTTGGTTTGGCTACTGGGTTATTTTTCAGATTAGAAAAATAACATAGACATATGCCTACTGTATAGTAAGTGCTTGGATGTTAGCTCTGTTTTTACTCTTTTTCTTCTATTGCTATGGGTATGTATATCATATGTACAATATTTATTATATATGTGATTTTTCAAAAGAACCACCCAATACCATGCTTTAACAAATGTTATATTTGCTTCAGACTTTTTGAAGAAATATTACAGATTTAGCTAAAGCTTCCTGTATTCCCCTCCCTATTCCTCCCTATCAGAAAGAGCCATCATCCTAGAGTATATCATTGCCTTGAAAGTCTGTACAATGAGAAATATGTGTATAGGTCTAAAAATTGTTTTACATAGTATATAAGTGATATCATCTGTGTATTTCTTCAGCTTGTTTTTTTTAACTCAACATTTTGTTTTTGACATGTAATTATGTTAATACCACAACTCTAGTTTTTTTTGTTTGCTTGTTTGTTTTTGGTTTTTTTTTTTTTTTTTT